AAGAAAACGCTCGGGGTCTCTCTTTACATGCAAGCTCTTCCTAGAGCTGTCCACATAAAATGCCCCAATGTTAGGAACTCGATCACAGATGACATTGGGGCCAGAAGTCACCTGTCTAAAGGGCGTCTGTGCTGATGGGATGAACTCACACTCTTTTTCAGAGCACTGTTTCAAATAAATTAGCATTCTCATCTCTACTACAAAAGGAAGGAAGATGGGAGAACGGTTGAGGAACACACAGACAGTTTATTAAGATGTGCCTACCGGTACCATCACATTACTAAATAACCATAATGAATTAATGAATTTAAGAACAAGAGAAGTCAAGTTGTTCTATGTCATGCCAAGTGTGATAATCCTTTAACATTTTTGTTTAGACTTTGAGAATATGATGGTAACCATAGATCCTCTACTTAGGAAAAAATATATACACATATCACTTACCCACAAAATCCTACTCTTGAGTAATATGTCACACTTTTCACTGCTGAGACCAAACACTGGAGATGAGAACTTAAAAGGAGGTAAGATTAAACGGATGACATGTAAAACTATGCTATATGGATGTCCTCTTCCTTTCTCTATACTGTGTAGAATAAAGATACAACAGCTAGAGGCTGTCTCCTCAACTGAACAGGTAATCAGCAAAGATAAACCATGAATTTACTGCAGGCTCATATAAACAAAACCTCAGTTTCTCTTGTAGACTTCAACTTTCACCTAGTAGTTACCACAGAATTACCATTTTGTTCAGTTATATATCACTCTCCCAGAAAGATGGGAAATTTTTAAAACTTAATGTCTTCTACTATTCCTTGAAAGTTAAATATTTTCAAAGAAATGGTTCACAGGTTTTTTTTGCTTGTGCTTTTAATTATTTAATTTCCAGGGCCCTGAATATCTGTTTATGTCTGTTGTTATGTGCAGGCAGTGTCTTGGAACTCGATCTTAGATATCACCTCAAGGTATCAGAAGACATCTAAAAGGGTATGCAGTGATATTTCTAGCAGTTCAGACAATATTTTCACCACAGAACACAGTCACTAGGTCTTATGGAAATGAGGCTTCATTGAACACTCCCATTCCACTGTGGTTTCCCGTGTTTTAATGTATTGTCCAGTTTTTTTTTTGTCATCAATACTTAACTAAATGCTTTAAACAGAATTAAATTAAAAATTAATCCCCTCTGCTCCCTTGCCTTTTGAAGTAACCTCTTCTTCCTGTTTGAAGGCTAACACTCCCTTGGGTCCTTTTTGTGGTCTTCTATGTGGTAGAGGGTTTGCAAATGCCCATGCTTTTTACAAATACATTGTATCTCCTGCATTTCTGTTTACTCTTCCTCAAAAGTTGTTGCTATTTCTTTTAACTGCTTGGACAGAATAACTAATGCCACCTTCCACTTTTGTGATACACCTGTTTAGAGTTGAGCTCCATGGATTTTGCTCAAATATCTCTTCAATTTATCCACATTTGAGGGAAGTGACATTAGTCCTCTATATCTGTAGCTTCTGCCTCCATGGGTTCAGTGAGCAGTGACCTGAAAATATTTTAAATAACTTGCATCTCTACCAGGCACATACATTGTTTCTTGTCATTACTCTATAAATATTACCATATTGCACTTATCTATACAGCACTGACATTAGGTGACTAACTTGGGTGACTTGAAATACATGGGAGAATGCACATGGGTAGGTTCTATGTAAATACTGTGCTATTTCATACCAGGACTTCGCCTTCCTCTAACTGTGATATCTGGAGGATCCTGAAGCCAATTCTTTATCAATATTGAGGGGCAATGGTGTCTTAGTTAGGGCTATTATTGCTGTGCTAAACACCAAGACTAAAATCAACGTGGGGAGGAAAGGGTTTATTTGGCATACACTTCCACATCACTAGTCATCACTGAAGGAAGTCAGGACAGGAGCTCAAACAGGGAAGGAACCTGGAGGCAGAAGCTGATGCAGAGGCCATGGAGGAGAGCTGCGTTCTAGCTAGTTCAACCTGCTTTCTTATTAAACCCAGAACCACCAGCCCAGGGATGGTCCCACCCACAGTGGGCTAGGCCCTCCCCTATCGATCACTAATTTTAAAAAAATGCCTTGCAGGCTTGCCTACAGCCTGATCTTATGGGGGGCATTTTCTTAATTGAGGTTCCCTCCTCTCAGATGACTTTAGCTTGTGTCAAGTTGACATAAAACTAGCCCATACAAAATAATATTTTGTCTTCATTAAGTCTACACATACTTCTCTGTTTCCACAGCTATATTCCAACTGAAACCTAACAGAAAATACGAGTCACAAAGTGAACTTTCCCCAAACTTCTCCACCAGAAATGCCTCCATGTCATATAGGTCTTTTCTCTCCCCTTGCTTCTGCTTCCCAGAGTTTACCTATCCCACATCTGGATCCCAGACATTTCTGCCTTCCTAGGGACATTGTTTCACTCAGTCCCCCTTTCTTCTAAGTTAGAAAATCTGTTATACTCATAGGCTCTTACCCTTCAATATTAAAGTGTGTTCATTTTTCCTTTCCTTCCATTTTAAAAAGAGAACTTTTTGTTGCTTTTGTTTTTGTTTGTTTGTTTGTTGTTGTTGTTGTTTTTGTTCTTTGAGACAGGTTTTCTTTCTGTAGTCTTGCTGTCTTGGAACCAGCTCTGTAGACTAGGCTAGCCTCGAACTCATAGTGCTGGGATTAAAGGGGTGCACCACCACTGACCAGAGAGAAAATGTCTTTAGTCATACACCCTCTTGCCTTCTTCTCCCCTCTCATCCCTCCCTCATCTTTTTTCAAATAAGGTCTCACTATATAACCCAGGTTAGCCTTGAGCTCATGGTCCTCTCTCAGCCTTGCCTCGTTCTCTGTTGTGGTTTCAATGGGAGATGTTCTATGTTTGAACCCTTGGTCCCTGGCTGGTGGTGCTGTGTGGGGAAGAGGTGGAACCTTTGGTGTATGTCCAGCTAGCGGAGTGGGTTGTTGGAAGAGGGCCTTGGAAGTGACACCCCTCTTTCGGCTTCCAGAAACGCTCAGCCTCCTGATGCACTAGAATATGAGAGGTGGCAGGCTGAGAGCTCCCTCCATCATGCCTTCCCCACCATGACAGACTCTACTCTCTAAAGTGTGAGCCAAAATAAATCCTCCATTGCTTGTCAGGCATTTTGTGACAGTGACAAGAAAAGCCACCGATACACTTTCTCATCTCTTATCTATGTCTTTCCCTACTCCTCACCATCTAACTTGCACACACACACACATACACACTCAAAATCGCCCAGCTGCCATAGCTAACGGCAGCATCCCACTCTGTCCATTAAGGTATCAAAGGATGAGTGCCTGTTCACCGAGAGCTACACAATCAGCTACAGCTCATCTTCGCAGCCTTCCCTAAATACCACCTAAATCCCCTCATTCTCCAAGTTTCCTTCCTTCCCTCCCACGAGACCTCCTTTTAATATACATCTTAAGGTAGCCACTCCGGCACCTATGGCTTCAATTACTTCCTGTGTTTTCTGATTTTAATACGACCTCTACCGTTGTTTCATTGAACAGGTTTATCTTACTCATTTACTAAAACCATAGATCCACAGAAGTAACCAGGAACCCAAAGCAGCATTCTTAGAATGTAAACTGTAGAAAAACGTTCCCCCAATTACTCTTCTTGTTTTAGTGTAAGCGCTATTTTTGAAAGAGTTTAAGTTGGGGTATCACAAGCTGGAGTTAGCTTACAGAGGCTCACATCCAACTTTCGGAGAGATTCATTGCCATATGTCAATTAATGTAGAAAACTATAGCCTCTTTTTTTTTTTTTTTTTTTTTTTTTTTGCATTCTACTTTTGTGGCCCCTCCATATCCAACTGCTAAGCACTTCCTACGTCACCTCATACACGTGTAGAAGTCCATCTCCCCTCAGCCACCACTGTACTTTGTCGGGCCTACCTATCTTTCCCTCCTGTGAGAATGAATATGCTCCCTTCACTGGTCGGTCCTTCATTCCCTTCCTTCTTATTGTCCAGGGTGACCTAGTCACAAATATATCTGATAGTGACTTTCCGATTTCATGTGAGACTTCAACAACTATTTCCAGTATACCATTCAAACTCTTGACCTCACTGGCTTTCGGGTCAGATAGGTGTTTGTACCCCAAGTTCAGCAGTGTGAACTCAGACAGCTAGATGCTCCAAATTTTTGCTTCCCATTTGCCTGAATGCACTGGGAGCCTGGACTTCTGGGACAGAGAGGTTCAGTTGAAGGTTCAGTTAGAGAAGGTATTTTTAAAAACCCACGTGAAAAGATTCCTCTTAAACTAAACACCACCAAATACTAAGTCTCTGTCACCTTCCCCAAGTGTGACTTCCTTCCACTGGTACTTTGGGATAATCACATTAAGGTGTGGGTTGTGATCTAGATCACCAGGCACCCCGACTATTCTGGCTCCTGCCTGAGCAGTTATGTAACCTTGGGAAAGTTACTTAATTTCTGCATCTCGCACTCCAGCCCTCCCCACAACCCCAGTAAAATCTGGGAGACGTAACAACATGGGATTGCTTTAAACTTAGAGTTAGGGAACTCCGTTGGCATGGTGACCAGTACATGGCGCTTGCTAAATGTTAATTGTCTTCTACCATCTCCATCCATTAGAACTGTGGGTACCCCACCGTGTGGTTCTCAATGTTGTAGGAGAAAACTGCTCTCTGTACTGCTAGTTAAAGAAAGGAAATCTGGGAATGCCTGTCGCGGGATGGGAGGAAACGGGGCGAAATGGGAGCTGCGGGCTCCCAGTTGTTCTGAGCTGGGAGGGACGAGTTTGGTCCTTATTTTACGTACGAGGAAGTTGAAGGGTGACGTGTCCTCGGGCCTCATGCAAGGCACAGTCACAGCTCTTTATTGAGAGTGAGACGAGAGCCCCGGGGTTGCTATGGTTAAGCTGCAAGCGAAAACGTAACACTGGAAAGACGGGAGCATCTAGCTGTATACAACCGGCCAAGTCCGGTGCAACTTACTTTGGGTGAGCAAAGGGAAGCTGTCAGACATGGAGAAGCCCGGCTGCTGACAGAACCAGCTCTCCACCAAGCCTGGCCTTCGGGGCCCGCCTCGAAGCGCAGCCTCGAGCAGCGAACTGCCGCAGCTCACCCCCCGAGGACCCCGCTCCGGCCCCCCAGCTGCCCACGATGAATGGAAACCCGAGTCCGCGCCGCGCGGCTTGAGGGATGGGGCGGGGCTTTGTGAGTCACGTGCCTGGGCCGTAGGCGGGCGCGTGGAGGGAAGTCCGAGTCTGATTGGCTGCCCGTCACCAGGTGACCGCGGGACGCGTTCCGGTTGGCAGGAGCCGGCTAGCGGCCTTCAGTCTGGAGGCGGCGACGGAAGGAGGAGGAGCTCCGGCCGCGCTCTCGGCCCGCAGTGGCTGCGTCTCCCAGCGCTTGTCGGGTCCCCACCCCTTTTAAATAAGCCGGGCTGGTCGCCGCCCTCGCAGACTAGTCCGCTGTGGGGAGGCGGCGGCGGCGAGCCGGCGGGGGT